ACCACCCACAGATCCCCACCAAGCCACACTCTGTTCTCGATAAGCTTCTACAGAACACGTGCTACCGGCTGGTCCTCTGGGAGTCTATGCCTACTTCAGCTCCTCTGCATTCCTTGTCGCCCCAAGCTGAAATCACCTTGTGCTGTGGTCACTGATTCTGCGAGAGAGCAAGGCTCATGCCCTGTTTCTGTGACTCTAGTACTGATCACTGCTTACCACAGGCATCCAGCAAAGGTCCCAAGAATAAAGACTGTCTATGAATAAGTAAAGAATGTCACACTCATATCCATTGACAAACAACCCCAAACAGCTACTGAGTAAACACTGCAGTCTGTTCGATAAACATAAAGATACAGAATTAAAAGTCCTAAGAATGACCTCTGGACCTAAATCTATCAGTTTTATTCCCAATGAAAGTGTCAGGGAACTTGAAGAGTATGAGGCCTGTTTTTCAAGACAACTGTTCAAGGACACACTGTATTTTAGGCGGTGAACTTTTGGTTAGCTGGAGAGATTTTCATGAGTCACCTGCCCATAGCTGATGTGTTTTCCCAGCCCTCCATTTGGAAAAAGATAAGATGCGGGGGAGGATGAGTCATGCTAAATGTTCTCCAAGTGTTGTTGTTTAAAAAGCCGAGAATGTTCAATTGGTCTCATGTTAGGAGGGGAGTCTGATTATCACAGAAAAATCTGCACTTCCAAAAACGAGAAGAAAATACTTCAAGCTCCAAACAAGAACATCAACACATTCTTCCCCAGTGTGTCTGGATAATGGCCAAACCATCAAACAAGCCCCAAGTGGAAAGAGAATATGTAAGTGGAACTTGACCCTTGAACTTGGGAGTGGTAAGTGTACAGGGGTCCTTCAAGAACACTTAGCCTTGACTGTTTCAAAACAATATGTTCCTTGAAACTGGAAGGAATGAGGCTACAATCAGACTCTCTGTAGCTAGGGAGGATCTTGGAATGATCCTGAACTATTCTGGCCACATCTTCCCACCTTGCCACCAGGATTCCAAAGCCAGTGGCCTCTTTGGGGGTTGTGATGGAGGACTTCTGAGTGAAGAGAAAGTGAGGTGGCACACTTCTAAATTGGAAACAGTCATGCTGCCAACTATAAATTAAGATGGGGGGGGGTCAGTGTGTGAAGATGTTTGCTGTCTGTATAAGCCTGGCAACCTGAGTTCAACCCCAGGTATCGACATAAAGATGGAAAGAGAAGCAACTCCAAAAAGCTGTCCTCTGACCTCCACATGTGTGCTGTGGCACATGTGTGCCCCCCATATATACATATACACAACAATAACACACTTTCAAAATTAAAAAAAGATAAGGTGGGATAAACTCAGGACATGTATGTCTTTTTTAGGACAATGTGGCCATGGTGATCAGAATGCTTGTCTCTTTTAGTCTTTTTTTTTTTTTTTTTTTTTTGTGGTTTTTTGAGACAGGGTTTCTCTGTGTAGCTTTGCGCCTTTCCTGGATTTCGCTCTGTAGACCAGGCTGGCCTTGAACTCACAAAGATCCGCCTGCCTCTGCCTCCCGAGTGCTGCGATTAAAGGCGTGAGCCACCACTGCCCGGCACCTCTAGTCTTTTTCATGTAAGAAAATGCCAGGATATACACACAAGAATTTCCATCTATCATAGCCAGAAAAAATGTGCACTATGACTAACTAGACCTTCTGTCCAATATCTGCCATGGTAAGATTAGAGTTACCATGGTAACCATTCCAACACTGAGACCCCAGGAGTTCAAAGGCAGGAGAATTAGAATACTAAAGAACCATCTTCATGTCTCAGGTTCCCCCCAAGGCCATTTGTCCTCCATCAATGAGATGCAAGCTTTCTCACAGAGCTGATGTGATTCTAAGCCAGGATCAAGGATACACACCAGCAGCCTGAGTGTGTACTGTGTCCACAGGCTGGAGCCAGTCTCGTCCAAATAATGTCCTTCCTAAAAGGGACAACATTCTCAGCCTCTACGCCACCATCAGGCTGCACTGTGCAGTACTGCCTGTTTATGGGATCTTCTGCTTAGTATGTGTGGATTGTGGGTGCTCCTACATAACCGGAGCATCATCAGTTTACTACTAACTGGCTGTGTGTGTGTGTGTGTGGGGGGGTGTACCAGGAAAGCTTGCATGGAGTGATGCTGAAGGTGGTCTGCAAATGGTTTCCATAGTGACCTACAAAATCTTGATAACCACAATCTGTGGGTCAAAGGACTAACAAATACTATTTTTTTTTTTTTTGCAAAAGCTGTTACTTTTATGCCAGAAAAATGAGCACAGAAGATGACAATATTCAAGAGAAGATATCTAGCCTCACCTAAAAAAAAAAAAGGCTTATTTTATTATTTTTAATTATGTGTGTGAGTGTTTGTGTATGTGCCTGTGTATGGGTAGATGTACTTGAGTATAGATGCCCCAGGATGTCAGAAGAGGGCATTGCATCTCCTGGGGCTGGAGGTACAGGACGTGGGTGCTTAGGATGACGTGGGTGCTTAGGAGGACGTGGGTGCTTAGGAGGACGTGGGTGCTTGGGAGGACGTGGGTGCTTGGGAAAGGGATGTGAGTCCTCAGCAAGGGCAGAGTGTGCTCTTAACCAGCGAGCCTTCTCTCTAGCCCTGGTCTTTCTTTTAAAGGTTGATATCACCTGCCTTCGGCAGGAGGGGATATTTGCCTTATTTAATACGTTCTTCCCTTCTCTGTTATTTTCAAAGTTATTTATGCCAGGGCCTTAAGATAGGGAAAAGTGAAAAGGCTGATGGGTCAATCAATACCCTCAGCACAGATACTAAAGATGATTAGGAAGACAGCAGCTCAGGATGCTGCCCTGGTGTTGGAAGGCTCCCCACTATCCCACTGCTCCAAGACTTAGTCCCTGTGCTCAATTCATGTTGTAGGTTTTCTCCCTCAGAGTCTGACTCTGTTCCTGTACGTCAGGCAGAGACTGACAGAAGAGGGCACATTGGCTTGTCTTCAGATTATCTGAAAACCACAGAGATTTCTGACTGGCAAACAGCATATGATGTCGTCATCTGATAGTTTATAGATAGAAGTTTTGTGACAGTTATATATAAACTCTCAAAGATAATATTTCCTAAACTTTGTACTAGAAAAAGACTTCAGTAAAATCTTCTTATGTATCTTCAAAATAATAACTAATTGCAGTAGGTTGAATGTCAAGAGAGGACACAATTTCATTTTGTTCTAGGTGGCAGCCTCCCCTTATCCAAGCCCCCAAGTGGTTGCCTGGAACCCTGGATAGTAGAAGCCTGGCATGTACTATGCTTCTGCTTATACACACCTTCCCATGACCCAGTTTAACATAAACCAGAGACACTTAGGAATGGACAATCACTGATAACACAATTAATGGTTATAAGAATGATTATAATATAATGAAACTGCCAGCATCGCCACCTGCCCTTTGGGGCCATTATTACATAAAATAAGGGACACTTAGAAACGAGTACTAAGAGATCGTGACAGCTGACATGATAAGTGAGATGGCTGCTGAGTGACTCACAGGCCACTAATGTGAACAATGTGGCTACCCTGGACAAAGGCTGATTCGCATTCTAGACAGGCAGAGGACAGTTCAGAAAGGCTCACAATTTAAAACATATGCATTGCTGGTCTGTGGGATTTTCCACTTAACATTTTTTTGACTGTGGGTGACCCTAGGTAACTGAGACCCAAAGGACCCACTGCCATGTTGACAGATTTACTGCTTAAATATCAGCTACTATTTCTGCCTTTTGTTGACTTGTGGCTGAGGCTCTTAGAAGCCTCTGGTGTGCAGCTTTCTGGAGAAGTGTGAGGTCTCTGGATTTCCTCTGACAACGCTCCAAGAGCAAAGAGACATTTTGTCACTACACAGTGACTTTGACACTAATGCACATTGTTATGTTAGAGTATGTTTCAGAAATATAGCTTGGGGTTTTTATTCTCTGTGTCCCCAGAATTTCCAGGAGAATGGATGGACATTCCTGTCCCTTACCATGGTCCAGGGAGGTGCTTGTGCTGTTTATTTGCAGCATATTTTCTTAACTTACAGTGTTTATGAAGTGTCCGTTCAGCATTTGGCTTTCCTTCTCCTACTGGGGCCCATATGGAGCACATGGACCTATGCGTATACATCATGATCTCATCCTAGAAGCATCTGGTTTGGGACAGCATCCCTTCTCTTCAGTTTTATGTACGATACTCCCTTGCTTTTACAGTTCTGCTTTTAAGACTCAAATGGTCCATCCCAAGGGAGCTACCATGTTCACAGTACACCTACTCCTCCAGGGAGGGCCAGAGCCTCTGCTCCTAAGCATGTCTCCACACTCAGCATGATATGAAAGAGCCATCTTATCCCACTGTATCCCAACTGGACTAGTCCTAGAACCAACAAAACACAATCTGTAGGGCACAGAGATGGCACACAGCAATGCATGCTTTCTTATGATAGATCAATAAACTTTTAGATATGACTATCAAAGAGAAATACTAAATTCAATGCTCCATGAAGTTATTATTCCAGATCGTTCCATTCCCGATATTACAGATAATTTCCTATGTCCCAAAGTCACTACTGTCTTCTCACTCTGACCTAGCTAGGCATGCCACAGATGACCAGGTGGAGAGTCCACTCACTGCCTCCCCACAGCAGAAGTCTTCATACCTTCTCAAACATCCGAGAGTGGAAAGGAGATGCTTTCAGAAGCATCTTCATATTTACATAAGTGTCCAAGGGAAACTGGCCTTCAGGTTGTCTGTCATTCACTAACTATTCTGTTCAGTGTGAAGTCTGAAAAGGACTCACAGCTGCGTGTGGTGCTACACACCTTTACTCCCAGCACTTGGGAGGCAGAGGGAGGTGAATCTCAGTGAGTTTAAGGCCAGCCTGGTCTACAGAGTGAGTTCCTGGACAATAGAGAAACGCTGTCTCACAAAAGAAAGAAAAAGAAAGAAAAGGACTTACAAAATGACAATGGAATGGGTCTTACCTTCAGAAAGGCTTTCTTTTCCAACGTGTTCATGATAAATGGAGGGATGGCTGTAATAAAGACAGGGCCATTTAAATCTTCACTTAATGCCTTCCTTCAGCTGTGTTTCCCGTAACAGGCTGATAGAAAGCCGTGTCACTTTTAGGCTATTTTTACATTGGCAGAGTGAAAGACTCAAACCAAAGCCAATGCAAAACTGGAGCTGAGTGGAAACTGGGGTGCAATACTGTTTTCAGGCCGTCTGGAAATCTGGGCTCAGGAGATGTGTTGGGGGCTCAACAGCCTTCTCTTTGGAGTGACAAGCCTGCTGGTCCCTAAGGTATCTATCCTTCACAGACCACACTGGCAGCCCACTAGAGTATAGAGGGGCTCCTCGGGTCAATCAGATAATGCTGATCTCCTCCAGTTAGCTGAAACGCAACACGATCAATGCTGTCTCTCAGTATCTACAGGGCAATGGATCCAGGACTCCTGTGGTTACAAAATGCATGAATTCTCAGCCTTAGAGCTGCTGTAATCTCTAGGTAAATTGTGGCTTACAGACAATATTCACGATGTGCAAAGAGTTGCAAGAATAACAAGAAGAAAGCCTGAACGTGTTCAATACACATATCTTCCTTTTGTTGGGTGGTTGACTCTGGATGCTGAGCTGCGTACACACAGGGTCAACTGCAGAATGTTCCTTGGTTTTCCTTTATGTACTTTTCTTCAACTTTTGTTGCTCATTCAAGCTCATCAGCTCAGAGCATCATGTAACAATAGCCAGCATCATGTGACAATAGCCAGCATCATGTGACAATAGCCAACATCATGTGACAATAGCCAACAGCAGCTGACAGACATGCTTCATTTGAGAGCACCTGTTTACACGCAGCTTAGGTGAAGAAGTTCAAGAACATTAAGTCCTGGGTTTCTTTCTTAGTTTTCCCTACAAAGAAAGCTGTCACTCATAGGTCCCTTGATTTCTGAGTGTCTAAGAACCTTCTCTAGGCCCCCAAGCAGCCCGATGGGTAGACAGGAGATTCTCAAAGGGTCTTAATATGACACAGATGTTCTCTCTGCTCATGCTGACCCCATACTATATAAATAACAGAGTAGCTGCCAGATGCACATTTTCTAATAGCTGTCCTCAGCACTGTCATTGTCCCATGTTCTAGGGAGAACTTCAGGAGAAAGTACTTATCTCCATGGACTTCAGAAGCATCGTCTTAAGATTTAAACAGTCCACACCCACTTCCACCTACTCTCCTCATCTCCACTACATCACTCTGGTCCAACTAGCCATGGCTTGCTGCCTGTGGTGCAGAGGCAGCCCCGAGCTGTCTCCACTCACCATTGCTACACCCCTTTAATCTAGTCTCACATAGCACCCATATCACATAATTACCATGTTCAAAACTGCGTGGTGCTCTAATCCTCAGACTAAGTTAGAGCTTGGAATGCCCAAGTAGCTGGCGCTAGTCTTGGAGGCCCCTTCAAATCCTTTCTTTCTCTCCTCCTTGGCAGAATGCCTCCCCCACAAAAGGCAAGCCCTGCTCCTCTGCTGATGCCCGCTCTACCTTGCTAAGAAGTCGCCCCATCCTTATCCCTACCCAGTCCCTCGCCTGCCCACTTGCTTCCTCCATCCCTAGCATTCCTTCCCTTGGCTCTTGTTACCTACCATTTTACATACAGGCTAAGAATCCCTAACCAAAAAACCTCAGCTCTGGGGGCTGGAGAGATGGCTCAGCAGTTAAGAGAACTGGCTGCTCTTCCAGAGGACCCAGGTTCAATTCTCAGCACCCACATCACAGCTCACAACTATCTTTAATCCAGCTCAAAGTGATCTGACACCCTCATACAGACATAAATGCAGGCAAAACACGAATGAACATAAAATAAAAATCACTAAATCATAAAAAACCCCTCAGCTCTGAAATGTTCCATAATCAGTCACCTTTCTCAACTCTCATACATCAGCTATGATGCATACCTACAATATGCAACGTTTGTTGCATGTATGAAGTCATTAGCAATATTGCACAAAATTATTTTTAGGCCACATGTACAAGATGTATATCTATCATGAACAAATTTCAAATTTAACTTTGAACCTCCTGAGAGTAGCTCATTTTATTTATATGTAAATGTTTTAAAATCCAAACAAATCCTCAACCTGGGACACTCCTAAGCCCCAAGCATTTGGTGAAGGATGTCCCATTTGTACCACATATTATTTACTTGCCCAGGTGCAGGCTCCACCATCAAAAGGAAGTTTTCACAAAGGTGAGTGCTGTTTGCTGTTCTGTTTACTGATAAAGGCTTGGCATGAACTACACGCAGGACCTCCAAGCTCACTCACCCATGCCAGGGGCTGCCATGAGGATCCTGGAGATGACCACCTGCGTGATGGCTTGTTTTGCAGCATTGGTCGATTCTCCCAATCGGGTGCCATTTTCATCAGTGACAGGAATGCCGACTTTGAGTTCCCTGAAGGGCAGAACACATGCAGAGGGGTTCACAGATGCCTCGAGGCAGCGCCCTGAAGGAGGGCTCTGGTGAGGAAGATTAAATGTCTCCTTCATCCAGTTTCCTACTCAAGTGTCATTCTTGGCACTGATAAGTCTATTTTTGAATACCATGAACAAGTTCAAGCCTCCTGTGATAGACATGAAGGGAAAATAACAGGAGTACTCCTTTTTCAGAAGGATGTACCTTTCCAATAATAATATGATTTGAGGGGTGGATATGCTAGCTCAAAGGTGTCGTTAATTTCTGTGCTCAGGTACAAATCTGAACAACCTTCTAAATTAGAAATAGATACAGTACATAGCGTTACTGAGCATCTCATGTATTGATAGTCATTGCAATACAGCCCTGTTGGATATTCATTAGCTACATACAGTTCCTAATGCTGGGAGCCAACTCCTGCTACTGCCCTGATCTTTTGTTATCTGTCCAAAATGCTTATTCTTTCCTCTCCTTCAATTTCCGTCAGTTCTAAAAAACACATTTCTGAAGATAAAGATTAAAATTACCTTAAGCTCCATATGAAAATTCCAAGGGAAAACCAAGAAACTCTTGGCTTTCTCCATCTCTGGTCTCAATCTTACAGAATTTTTTTCTGTGTAGAGGGTATAGACCTTTGAAATAGGAAGACTATGCATTCTAAGCCTCTAGGCCTTTTTCAGCCCACTTCAACAAATAGGAACCCAATGGGCTTGCCCTTACCACCCTGCTCTATTCTGAAGCAAATCTCAGATTTCATATGATTTCATCTACACTACGAGAAACTCCCCCACGGGGCCCAAGTCCTTGCCTGGTGCCTGTGTCCTCTTACCTTTGCCTCATCAGCGGGATGTTAATGCAGTTAGCAGCAGCCACGGCAGCGAAGGGGACAAAACGTCCTATCAGTGGTGAGACGCGCTGTAGGAAGATAATTCCACAAGTGTCATCTTGCTTCTCCCGGATGGCTGGATGGAAATTCTTACGTCTTCCTAAAAACACTGCAGTCCTGGCTGTATAGAGCCAGGCCAAGGGGCCTCAAACCTGTTGCTTAGAGGTATTTCTGTATCTCTGGCAAGGACATACTGAGACAATGCACCCATCTAAGACACTTTGATAGCTTAGTTTGTGTGGCTGGAAGCATGTTCCCAAGTCTCAGAACTTTGATTTCAGAGCCAGCTCTTCCACCTCTTCAAGCTCCCCCATCCCCCACCCCAGTCTTAGGAGGGTTTTTTAGAGAGAGGCATTTAGAACTAACTCATAGAGCCAGGAACAGACCAGTCTTGGCTGTTGCTACTAGTTACAACCCTTCTCCAATCCACTAGAAGATACAATGAAAATATGCAGCTAAAGATGGCTACAGGAAAGCCAAGTGGCTGCAATTCTTTTGAGAATAACAGAGGCACCCAGAGTGACAGGTGAGAAGAAAGTTAAGATGATCTGCCATGGAAACACAACTAAAGTACCTTGGTTAAGGCATTAAGTCCTAGGGCTGTCGCTACAGCACCGGTTGTAGCAGAAACATAAGCCGTACCCAGCTCACTGAAAAAAGAAAATAAAGACATCATGTAAATGATGGGTGTAGGTCAGGGATCATGAACACAGGATCTGAAGAAACTGAGGAGGCAGGAGTGTATGTCAGCAGCGGAGAGTCTGCAGAGTAACATTTGGGGTGACTCCATCAGTGTGGGAATCCAGAACGCAAACACATCCCTAACAGTGGGTTACAACCCCAACCAAGCAGACATGCAGATGAGGCACCCATGTAGATGAGGAAGGAGAGGTGTGTGGAAAGCTGCGGATGGAGCAAAGGCTCTGGGCTAAGTGTTTGGGACACATTTGCACAAATCAAAACTATCATTCAAAACATTAACGTACACACAGAAAGCAAAGTGCAGCAGGACCATCTTAGAAGGTTAGTTCACTGTACAAAAACAGTCCAAGTTTATCTCTAAAGTGCAGCGGAGCTCAAGCCGTTCTGCTAATTGTGAGAAACACAACTGGGTGGCAGGATTCAGCATCCTGTGCTCCATTTTGATGATAGCAGAATACTGGATGTCAAAGGCAATTTCCCAACATAAACAGGACTGTTTCAATTGTTGTGCAAATTATAGCTATAGTTTTAATTAATCTCAGCTTGGCAAATATATATATACACATATATATGTATATATGTATACACATACGCACACATATTTATATACACACATACATTCTAATACAGGAGACAAATTCATAAGTTCATTGCTTTCTTTGGACTCCAGCAATGAGGTGCTTTTAAAGTAAAGTGTCTATAAAGGCCACATTACTGCAAAGCCCCTTCTGCTTTGAGACTGGTGGCTTTGACTCATGCAGTCCCAGGGGGAGTTACTTAACAGAGGTCAGGCCTGAGGGCTGCCTGGTAGGCATTCTGCAGGGTCCCGAGCTCAGGATGTAAGAGAGACAGCAGCGTCCCACTAATAGCAGATGACATCAGAGAAGGAAGACAAAAGCAGAAAGTTATCCCGACAGAGGGAGGAGGAGAGACACTGCACAGAGCAAGCTATGTGTTCAAATGCATCGCTACTTAGGGAGCACAGGCTCATGGAGGACGGGTCACCCCACAGCCTTACTTTACGGTGAGGGGAGCATCTCCGCTTCTATTGGTGTAATTGACAACAGCATTGAAGGACTGGTTTATCCACTGCCAGAAAAGCACAGCCGGTGTGGTCCTAAAACAAGAGTAAGCCATCACATACCCTCCAGCACCAGCGAGGCTCCCTTCATACAGAAAGAAAATGTCTAACACCAACTACCAGCAAGGACGGGTACTAGGCAGGGAGGAAGTCTGCAGCCACAGACTGTCTACTTTGACACCCAGTTTCCTTATCACCAAGCTCACAGGGCTTCTGTCTTTGGGTTTCTATTGCTGTGATAAACATCATGACTAAAATCAACTTGGAGAGGAAAGAGTTTATTTGGTTTCATTTCCACATCATAGTCCATCATCGAAGGAAGTCAGGGCAGGAACTCAAAGCAGGAACCTGATGCAGAGGCCATGGAGGGGTGCTGCTTACTGGCTTGCTCTCCATGGCTTGCTCAATCTGCTTTCTTATAGAACCCAGGACCATCAGTTCAGGAGAGGTACCACCCACAGTGAGCTGGTCCCTCCCGAATCGATCATTAATCAAGAAAATGCCTGGCAGTCTTGCCTATAGGCCAGTTTTATGACAGAATTTTTCTCAATTGAAAGTCTCCCTTCCCAAATGACTCTAGCTTGTGTCAAGCTCACAAGAAACTAGCCAGGACAGCTTCTGTCATAAAGAAATAAACTTATAAAAAGCCTAGCACAGGGTAGACAGAAGAGCCCTTCTCTTGGTCAAACAAAGCAAAACAAAACAAAACAAAATCCCCAAACCCAAAATAACTATTTGCAAACGAAGCAGGCTTGGCCCTTCTGATGCTGTGTCTATATCTATTCCAACACCCAAACACACCTGTGTCTACAGAAAGAATAGAAGAGTTTATTTCTAGACTTTTTTTTTCCCTATCTCATTTTCTTTAGGGCCTAAGACTTAGAGAAAAATGTCAACTTCTTTTTAAACAAAGATTTTATTTAGTGTCCTAAAAAAAAAAGCTTTATTTATTCTTATCTTATGTGTATGAGTGCTTTGCCTACATACATGTGTGTACAGTGCCTGCCAGAAGGTGTCAGATCCCCTGGACCTGGAATTACAGACAGTTGTGAACTGCCATGTGGTGCTGGGAACTGAACTGGAGTCCTCTGCAAGAGCAGCCAGTGAGTGCTCTCAACTTCTGGGCCACCTCTATGTCCCCTGACTTAGCATCGTTAGAGGCAAAACACACCTTTAAATACAACGGATTGTGGTTTATTTACTTATTTATTATTATTATTATTCTACTTGATTGTTTTATTTTTGTCTGCTCAGAATGACCGAAAACTCATGGCCTCCAGTGCCTTAGTCTCCTGCATGCCAGGATTCCAGGCATGAGCCCATATGCCCAGCTAAAACAGGTATTTATTTTCGCAAATCATGCCAGGTGCTGCTTAATAGAGTGGCAGCATCTACTCAGAGTGGAATTAAAGATGAAATGATATCTTTCTTATGTTAAAACAATACCACCTCATTTTATTAATTACTTTTGTGATTGTTATTGTTAGATTGAGACAGGTGTTAGCTGTATAGCCAGGCTGGCCTCACCCTCACAATCCTCTTAGCCTCCCAAGAGCTGTGGTTACAGGTGAGCCATTACACCCACCTCCATCTCATTTTCAGCTGTTCTAAGTTCTAGTTAATTTTTAATTTAAATTTTATTTATTTTGTATGCATGTGCATGCATGTGGAGGTCACAGAGGATGACCTGCAATAAGTGGGCTCTCTCTATGCACTAAGTGCTTCGCAGGAATCGAACTGTGTGTTCAGGTTTGGTGGCAAGTGCCTTTACTCACTGAGCCATCTTGCCAACCTTACATTTATTTTAATTTTTTTTTTTACTGAATATACTTATGGGGTATAACATGTTTTGACACACGTAGAATGAATTCATCATTCTTGTTAACATAATCACTATGACATTTATTTCAGTAAAATTTATATTAAAATATTCTTCAAATTATTCCAATAGCAAATTAACGAACACCTCTCACGCATCTGTAACTTACCTGTAAAATGTCATCATGCAGCCCGTGATGGTCATGTTCATTGGGACTTGAGCTGACATTCTTCCTATCAGAATCATCTTTTCACCCGTGTCAGGATGGAAAGCTGAATCATACACGTACTTTGCTCTCCACAACTCATTTTCCGTGAGGCCAGCAGGAACAATTCCTTGCCTAGAAAATGACATCAAAAGTCCCAGCAACTGCTCCATTCAGATACCTGACCTTGAGCTTCATGGTTTGCAAAACCTTACTGCACCTACGGGACCTGGCAGGTCTGTTAGAGCGGTGGTGGTGGTTATTATTATTTTTTAAATTATTTATGTGTTTTCGGTGCTGGGAGTTGAACCCAGAGCCTCACACATACAGCATGCACTCTATTACTGGCCTTCCTGGAAGCCTAAGAACAAAAACACTGTTACAGTGAACTTCTCAGACCCACGCATCTCCATTATCTGTAATTTGGAAAATAACAGAAAGTAATATGCATATTAAGGAGTATTCATCTTGAAAATATTCATTGTTTTAAGTGACATGTTAAAACTGTAGTCTGAACATGGCAAACTCTGAACTATTTTTAACCAATCAGATCAAAGTTATGGCATTTAAGGCTATTACTTCATTTTAAACCTGCCATTGGCAAACTTAGGTTTGGGACCTTTTGGCGCAAATAAAGGGCTTGCTGCACAGTTTGTCAGATGTTCTCATCAAAGAAATACTCATTGTCAGAGACTTAGAAAATACACAAATTTAGCGGAGCAATGAAGTTAGCCCGGGCCTAGCTACTGTTGCCACTGGCAACGCTTGGATGAATACTTTTTCAGTCTTCCAAGGTGTTTAAGATATGACACCAGACCAGATGCTCACTAACCATGGCTTTTATTCAACAATACTCTATAAATATTTCTTTGCTCGAATATAACATTCTTCTAAAACATCTACATTGGGTTGAATAGTAATCCCCAAACACACATCCACATAGAAGAACAGGGTGTGGCTTTATAGATGTAATTAGCCAAAGTGAAGTCCTACTGGATGAATGGTCACTAAATCCAAGGAACAGTGTCTATGCACAAACAGAGAAGGCAGAGAGTACAATGATGTACCTACAAGCCAAGGGATGCTGACAATTCCTAGAGCCACCAGCACCCAGGATGAGGCAAGGAGGATCCTCCCTGAAAGCCTTCAGAGGGAGTGTGACCCTACTGTGCCACCTGTCACTCAGACTTCCAGCCTCCAAACTGGGAAGGGGGCACATCACCCTTTAAATGCTACAGATTATTTCACAATGTGAACTTTAATTGGGATTTTAATTCTACTTTTTCCATTTGTAAATATGGGAATAAGCCTTCATAATTAGAACTTTTCCCCACATCCAAGATTTAGGAATAAGTGAATAAATTTGCTAAAGTGACAGCTATGTAAAATACTAAACATTTTAATGACTTTTATCCTCTGCACTTGAGTCTGAGTTTGTAGGGTGTGGAGGAAGCCCTGAGAGCACGCATATGACAAAGACCAAAGTCTTGAATTCATGAGAAATTGGCCAGGCTCAAGAGGGATGGCAAAGGGTGGGTCCGAGTATGAGTGATCAGTGTGTGTACAGACTAGCAACTGCAGCTTCTTCCTCCAGGATGTTTAGAGCCTCAGAGTGTTCATCAACACAGACTCCTACCTGGAACAGCTAGCCCCTCCTCTGTGCTATACCTAATAAACACCTGAGGTTCTGGGTTGCCTGCTAGGCGCACTCCATACAGCCCACATCACCACCCGATCCCAGTTTTCCTGTATGTGTCTGTCCTTTCTTCCTGTCCTCCCTGCCTTTAGTCAGGGTTCCAGAAACCAAGCTGCAGGTTGTGACAGCAAAAACTATGCCTTTTGCTCTCGAGTCTGAGTTTGTCTTAAAAAACAGCAGGAATTTATCGTAAGTATGTGTCTTAGTTAGGGTTTCTATTGCTGCGACAAAACACCATGACTAAAAAGCAAGTTCGGGAGGAAAGGGTTTATTTGGCTTACACTTCAGCCTTGCTGTTCATCACTGAGGGGAGTCAGGACAGGAACTCAAACAGAACAGGATCCTGGAGGCAGGAGCTGATGCAGAGGCCATGGAGGGTGCTGCTTATTGGCTTGCTCCTTATGGCTGGCTTGCTTAGCCTGCTTTCTTATAGGGATGGCATTAACCACCATGGGCTGGGCCCTTCCCCATTGATCACTAATTGAGAAAATGCCTTACAGCTGGATCTCATGGAGGCATTTCCTCAACTGAGGCTGGTTCCTCTCTGATGACTCTACCTTGGGTCAAGTTGACACGCAAAACCAGCCAGTACAGTAAGAAAATGTGAAATTTGCTCACTTTACTTCCTGTTGGCTGGTTTCTACCAGCTGGGGTGTGAGGAGCATGGGGCTTGATTTTAGGCCTCTGCTGTGTCTCTGCTTACCTGCAGAGTGAGGACCACACTCACCATTTTAACAACAGCCCATCTTAACTGTTGGTGGGATAAGTGTTGTTCCGTCTATTACCCTCCTTATGCCTTAGTTACAGTCATTTGTCTTCAGGAAAACCTTACAGTTATTTTTCTAGGTCTTAGAGGCAATCACAGCTGTGCTGATGGAAACTGTTAACAGGAGAGACGCGTCCCTGCGACAGTGTAAGGCTTCCTTCTAGTCCGACTGCGTCTCGAGTTACTTTGGCTATTTTAACTGTCACACTCTTCTGAGTAAGGGTGTTCCCAGCTCTCCCCCCTTCACTCTTGCGGGCTGCAAGAATATATTATAGAGATTCAGCTGGATATTAAAGCTATACCTAGAAATTTCAAGGTATTTTTCTAGAGGCAAGCCATTTATTATGGAATATTTGGTGTTATCCAGTTTTTAATATTTTAGCTGTCTTCTGCTTTGAAATTCTTGCATGCCCAAATACTTCCAGACCATTATGGCAAACAGCTAAGCTTCTGGAACACTGTTCTTCTAGGTACTAACACCCCCTACAGAGCCTAGGAGACAAGCAGGCAGCAGATGCATAGCCTTGTTTCTTGTGCAAATGAAGTTCAGACCATCCCTTGCCTTCAAGCCTAGTGGCATTCCAGAGCCATTGACTGAGGAAATAGGACTTTTTGCATAACCAGGTGCAGTAAGGACTGGAGAATTCCAGAGGAAGACACAGAACCATGTGGCCAGAAAGAGGACAGGAAGACAGAGATTCTGTAGAGAGTAAAGCAGATCTCTCATAGAGTTTATGGGGCCAGGGGTAAGGGGCCAGTTAGGATAGATGGAGGACAAAGGAACAGAGGACGAAGATCAGGTCAAAAGCATAGGCACCTATTAAGACTATGAGGACAGGAAAAGTGGGCACAGAGAGGAGCTGAGTGTGAGGACAGGGCTGAAGCTGTACAGATAGAATTTTGTCACAGAGGAATAAAGTCAGCAGACAAAAGAATGCAGTGTATGTAGATTCCCTCAGATACCCCATGCCGTACGTGGCGTCTTTCCCAGGACTCTGGGAGGAATTTTCTCAGGGTAGGAACTTGGGAAAATTCTGTTATCCTTACTTCACAGACATACACACTTAAAAAATTTAAATTATGTAGCAGTGTCTGTGTGTGGGGATGTGCACATGAGTGCAGGTACCTGCAGAGGCCACAGGTGTTGGGTCCCCTACCTCTGTAGCTAACAGGTGTTTGTGAGCTGCCCGAGGTGGGTGCTGGGTACTGAACTTCAGTTTTCTGTAAGGGCAGTATACACTCTTAACCTCTGAGCCATTTCCCCCGCCCATGCATACTTTGTATCTTTAAGTGTTCTGATGCAGTGTGAACTGCTGTCACTGTGCACACTGATGCTACACGTGGATTAAAAGCAGACCCTCTCATCACATTTATTTGTTATTTCAAGGTGATTAGGATATTGTCAGCTGCAAAATACAATTGCTTCATCTTTTTAATATCTCCACTTCTTAGTTTCAAAGTGGTTTTGAACAGTGAAGACTTATTCTTACCCTTGATGCCTTGGGCTGCATGCTTTCCTATATGTGTTCCGAGTCATTAATAGAGGTTACAGGGAGAAAGAAATGCCTATGTTCAAGTTTGGGAAAAGGGGTTAAAGAGTCCTACAGCCCCAGTTTCTAAATATTTTGGAAACTGAAAGCAAAGCAGGGTGGGGTGGAGTAGGGTGGTATGTGACAATATGACATCATCAAGACTGGAGCTGTCTCAAATCTCACGTGAGCAAACACCGTTCTTCTCTTTTCTCCCTCCCTGAAGCATGTACTAAACACAGGTTGATGTCAGGGTTAGAGTACTAAACACATGGACTGATGTCAGGGTTAGAGTACTAAGCACATGGACTCTGTCAGGGTTAGAGTACTAAACACATGGATTGCTGTCAGGGTTAGAGTACTAAACACATGGACTGCTGTCAGGGTTAGAGTACTAAACACATGGACTCTGTCAGGGTTAGAGTACTAAGCACAGGCGGCTTCAAGCCTTCTCAGCACACATGAACGTCTGCTATTTTCATAAACAGTGCACAGCCCATCTGCTGTTGGACTTAATTGTTTAGTTAAACACATACAGCTCATGAAGAGTTCCTACTGCGGTATCATTGTTTTTACTGTGTAATTCTACCTGGTTCTTCTTTGGGAATAAAGAGAAGGGATTTAGAAATTCTGGGGTGGCTTGTCGGGGCTTTTAGCGCCACATTAGGACCACATTTCGGATCAAGTTCCTGTCGTTTCTAACAATCCCTTTCCGGTGCAGCTCTAGCTGGCTGGTGAATGCTATCTGGCTGCTCCTCACGAGACCTATTGTCAACACTGGATTGTTCTGATCCACTTACCCTAAATTGTCCCTTGTCTTTCTATACAGAATTTCTATACAGAATTTCTGCTTCTTTTTTATTTTAATTTTTAAATTTCATCTCTTTCCTGCTCAAGGAGAGTTCTCAAGGAGTGTGGACCTGATTCTTTGCTAATGATGGCAGTCTGGTATAAACCGCCTGGCTGCAGCCCTCTGCTGGACACAGCACATGCTGACTCTGGGCGTGCAGATGACAGATAACTTTCTTATTGTGTTCATGGAGGCCAATTCAGGGGACAAAAGGGACTAACAGGAGGGGCAGGGGGAGGGGTGAGAAGCAGGCAGGCAGGAGTTTATGGGAAATGCTCCAACTTTTACATGAAAATGTCTTTCTGAATGAAGCTGAGTACTATGAATACACACCAAGAAAAAAAATGTTACTTTAAAGGGAAAAAAAGTTTGTTTAGGGCTGGAGAGGTGGCTCAGTGGTTAAGAGCACTGTCTGATCTTCCAGAGGACCCTAGTTCGATTCCCAGCACCACATGGTAGTTCATAACCATCTGTAATTCCAATGTCAGGAATACAGTTTCCTCTTCTGGTCTCTCCAGGCACCAGGCACCCAAGTGGCTCACACACACACACACACACACACACACACACACACACACACACACGCAAACAAAATGCCCATATACATGAAAAAGTTTGTTTATAGACAACATAAAACATTTGAAAAACGGCCACCTATGGCTCTCTCCTCTGGAAAGGGCATGTCTCTTTAGCTTGTAGACAGGTTCTGAGTGCAGAAAGTCTTTCTCTGTTACACAGATTGGTGTTCTCTTGAGTTTTCCTGAAGCAAGTAGCAACTAATTATTTCTTCACCCTCTAGTCCATAGCCCCCTTAGATAGTTACTGTTGATGTGACTGGATTAGAATCCCCCAGGACATCAGAAAAACACACTTCTTGGTATGTCTTTGAAGGCATTTCCAGAGGAGATTAACTGTGTGTATGTGTCTGTGTGTGCATGTGTGTGTGTACATCCTGACTGTGGGTGCCACCGTCCTTGGGCTGGGGACTCAGATAGAATACAGGAGGAAAAAGCTGAGGGTGCTGACCTCCCTCCTTCTCTGCAATAACCATGGCAACAGTGGATAGAATGGCTCCTCCCTTAAGTTATTCACATCAGGTGTTTCGGTCAGAACACCACCAAGGTAACTGCTAAAGTAACGGACACATAATCTTTTCATCCCTTACTCTTTCGTCTGTTCGGGAATGGCAAGGGCAGTCCAGAGCCTGACCTGCACACTAAGAGCAGTTGTTACAAGGGCAGTCCAGAGCCTGACCTGCACACTAAGAGCAGTTGTTACAAGGGCAGTCCAGAGCCTGACCTGCACGCTAAGAGCGGTTGTTACAGTTTTAGAATGGCCCACAGAGACCTCCTCAATACCTTTTGGCCCTTTTAGAGTTTGCTGACCTCTCATTACGGTCCTCGAGGAGCCCATATGGTTTATTCTCTGCTCTGTCTGTTGTTAGTTCCCAAACATTGTTTCCAATGAAGATTCTAAGTTCTCTACAGCATTTTGAGTTTCTTCGTCTCTTCATTATGTCATCCTCAAGTGGTCAACCTGCCCTCTGTCTTTTGTTCCAAATTCACAAAGAACACTGATTTTTCTGAAGTCCTGAAAACACGCTCAAGTGAAGTCTTCCTTTGTAGACTGCACTGGTCCCTCCCAACTGCCCAGCCAGCAGTAAACACCTGAGGCGTGTTATTCCTGCTATGTTTAGGGGCAGAGCACCTGATGTTCAAATTCCCCATATCTTATTGGCTTTTCCCTAGAGCAGAAATCAGCAAATTACTGTCCATGGCCTGTATGTCCCCAGGTCACAGGGATTTTACATTAAAAGGGTTATAAAAAAGTAGTAAAGTTATTATGTGACTAAGACTCTTTGAAGTGTACAAAGCCTCAAGTATTTATTTTTTCAAAAAATTTCATGTGTCTAAGTGCATGCCTGGACCTGTGGAGGTTAGAAGAAGGCATCAAGTCCTCTGGAGCTGGAGTTACAGGTATTTGTGAGCCACCATGTGGGTGCTGAGAGCTGAACCTGGGTCCTCTGCAAAAGCAAGCAGCTCTTAACTGTAAGCTGCTCTCCAGCCCCTACAGTATTTCTTATCCAGTTTATTCATTTATTTATTTATTTAAAATAGAATACATCTACTGCTGAATTAGCTGTCCCCAAGCACACAAATTCTGAGATTAGAGTATTTTCTATAGGATGCCTGATATTTGTTTATTTGTATTTAATCCCATACATTCCTTTTTTATTTTTTGAGATGGGGGTCTTACAATGTTGCTCAGGCTTGTCAAGCGTTGGCTGGGTGAGTCCCCTGCCTCAGCCTCATGAGTAGCTGGGACTTAGTCAGGTAGTACCATGTCTGGGTTCTTTCTCATGTGTAGATATCATCTCTAGATTACCTGCTACACATCATGAATGAGAAATGCCCTGTACAGTTAGACTGCATTGTTCACGGAGTAATAATAAGAAAACGAAGTCTGTTCATGTCCAGTGCTTGCAGAAGATATTTTTCTAGTGGTTTCTACCAGAACTGGTTAAAAGCAAGGCCAGAGAATTGGTGAATGTGGAAGACCAACTGTCCCTGCATAGGTGGCATCCTCTTATCACGTGTATGATGCTCTCAACTGATGGAGTGCATCTCACATGTACATGCCTGAACTTCATCAGAATCCTTCCCATCTGAGTACTCACCTAGAAAGTCTCCCTCACTGGGGCTGTGTCTCAGCAGTAACAGCCCTACCCCTAGTTATCAGGGGCCTGTTTCTTGAACGATGCTGTTTCTATCCAATGACAGAAAGGTGCTTGGGACAATTATGTTAAAGAAAAGGTCCAGGATGCCAGGGAAGGAGACCTCACAGACAGGTCATCAAGCCACAATGAACACTGGCTATCTGTGGTCAGGGTTAGCTCTGGGGTTCTACTTGGTCTTCCTATTTATTCATTTATTTTGGTATGTAGTAGTTTACTGCAAACAATACTGCCCAATCACGAAGCACTTTAAAAACAATTAACATGGCCGGAAACACGGCATCAGCCTCACCTGTACTCATGTACCACCTTTCTTGCATTCTCTAGTTGTTCGTTTGTTAGGAGGATGTTCCTAGGATCCGTGACAGTGAAGAAGTGATTGGCACGGCCGACAAAAGTGCTTTGGTCCCATCGAGGCTCCTTGATGTTAATGTTGGGTGGCACCTCCCCAGACATCGTCCCAGATCCTGAAAAGGGAAAGAGTAGGCAAGCGAGGTGACACTGTTACTACAAGCAAGGTGTCTGGTAGTCACACTTAACCTGTGTGTAAAGATGGCTCCGTGGGTAAAGCTCTGACAAGCCAGCACGGTTACCTGCGCTCTACTCCTGGGACCGACATCAAAGGTAGGAGAATCGACTCCACGAAGTTGTCCTCTGACTTTCACAGGAGTACCATCACACGTGCTTACCAGCCCCCGACATAGCACGCACATACAATAATTAATCTTTAAAAACTACACAAAAATGCTTCATAATATTGAAGTAAGTTTTGACTTTGTGTTCAGTCACATTCATAGCTATTGTGGGGTGCATGCAGCCCCCAAGCTGCAAACTGGAACCCCCTTTAAACCAAAGCAAGCTGTTCATAAACCTCAATGCACCTCAACCAAATTTCAAGAACTTGCCACATCTCTCTAGTCATAAGTACACAGTATTTCATTATCCCCTTTCTGCAGGAAAAGCCAAAGTTATTCTAGATAAGATAGAAACACAAAGTTTTAAAGTCACAAGGGCTGGAGGACTGGCTCAGTCACTAAACTGCCTGCCACACACATGAGGGCGGACAGTCTAGCCAAACCTGTTAGCCCCAGGCTCAGTAAGGGACACTGTCTCAAAAAATATGATGGAGAGTGACTGAGGAAGCCACCTGATGTCAGTCTTGGCCTCCATTAGCACGTGCCTTTGAGTGAAGCAGTGAATGTCAACATTACTGTGTTCTGGTCTAACAAACGTCATTACTACTGAAAGTAACTGACAATGCACAACATCATAAAACTAAAAACAATGATAACTAATGCTAGTGATTATAAAACTGAAAAGGAAGGCAGATTCCTTCAGCCTGTTCAGCGCATAAACCACTAGTCAAAAATTAAAAAAAAAATCTTCTTCAATTTACCGGAAACACGGAGACAAGCAACACACCTTACAGTCTCACAGAGCAAAAATGGCACCTTCCCTTCTGGTTCACGATCATTATTTTTTCCAGTATTTGTTCACTCATTTCTGAGTCATATTGATTACTTCAGAACTGCAATACTTGCTTATGGTATGCTGAAAACCACAAGCTTATTATGCAAATAACAAAGAAATAAAATTTCCACAACCCAGTCTCTCTGCAATAATTATTACTGTCTTCAGAAATCCATTTTCTGAAAAGCTTTTCAAGTATAAAAATAATTTGATAGGCTAGCTTTTAAATTTTATTTTAGAATTTCATACATGAATATATCCATTCCTCCTCAGTCTCTCCTGTGTCCTCCTCTTCATCCCCCTCTCAAATTTATGACCTATTCTACAATTATATGTACATATAATATGCTATATGTAAACATACTGAGTCCAGTTAGTGTTACCCGTATGTACATGAGTGTAGTGCTAACTACTTGGGCATGGGATTCCTCCTTTAGCAGCTGATTGGCACGTTCAGCAGGTCCACTCCCACACCTACCCACTGGCTCTTATAATCTTTCCACCCTGTTCATGGGTGTTCATTTACATTTGCTTCATGAAGACCCTCTAGCAGCATCAGATCTTCACTATGGACCCATAGTAACCCTTTGGAGCTGTTCTGGTTTATTTCTCAACATTACACATAACACCATGCCTTTGTCTGGAGCTCTCTTCCCTCATATCTGTTGATTTTCTTGGATGAAATCTCTGGTGTTGGGGAGTCAAAGGATCCGGTTATTACAGAGGCTTCATAATATTAATTTTCTTATACCTGTTTCTTTTTCTTCCATTTCTAACATCAGTTCTAACGGTAGCTTTCTGTAGTGTTACACAAATTCTTAGGACCATTTACAACATCAGGTGCAAATGCTAGATCACCCTGTAATTTGTCGTCTATCAAACCCCCCAAATAACATACCACTGACCACTGGATCAAAACTGAACATGTCAGTCAGGCACCCGAGTCTGAAGCGGGTGGGTGGTGGAAGTGAGAGGGTAAAATCTAGCTATTGATAAAATGGGCTGGGACAGCAGACCCCAAAACAAGGAGGTGCAGAGCCAACAGGATACCTCTTTCCTCCTAGCTACAAAGTGTCAACAGTGTCTGGGTGACCCCACTAGCTGACAGTCACTGAGTTCCCAGGCCAGGCACAGGGCTTCATATTAGGGACATTCTGGACTCAGCATCCTAAGTCCCTCTCAACATTGTAGTTTCCAAGGAAACAGGGATTTGAGTCCACTCCCAGTGCAAACTTCTTTCCCCAGTCGTGGTTTGTGCCCATCACAATGCTGCAGCATTAAACTCCACTGGTCTCCATAATGCTATAGTAGCTGTCATTTTCCTGCTTGGTTAGACCCCACACGACTCCCCTGGTAGTGATCTCCCTTACTACAGTGAGCCAGGAAGTACACCCCCATTGGACAGCAGCTCTGTCCCTGCTGGCCTTTGCCTGACAGGCCAAAGTGTAAATTAGAACATATATACTATTGTGCATGTTAAATCCAGGGACATAGACATATAGTACAGTACACCCTTATCTGAGGGGGTGCAAGTCCCCACAGTGGATATCTGAAACCACAGATAGTGTAGACCCCTATATATAATATTTTTTTATATACTTCGAATAAAGTTCATTATTAAATTAGGCACAACAAAAAGTTAACACTACCTGACAATGGAACAATATGCATGATAATATAAGCTGTGTGAATGTGTTCTCTCTCAAATTATTTTATTGTTTTTGAAATATTCTATTCAATATTTTTGGACCACAGTTGATCATGGATTGCTAACATGGACATCAAAGGCTATGTCAGTGTGTGGAAACATGGATTGTTTATATAACCCACAAACAGTAAAGACTCCAGTTTTATGTAGGGAAGCTTCCAGACTTGCCTGCAGAGATCAGCCAAGGTATCTCAGCAAGCTTTGTAATGGAGGGGGGTCAGGAATGTGGGTGCTGGGCCCAGAAGCCTGTCTGCACCTCAAGCCTGTCTGACCTGCCTTCAGTGTCTGTGTTTGGATGATGGTTATTAAGGGACCTCTACTGCTTAGGCAAATAACAACAACAACAACAACAACAACAACAACAAAACAACAATAGTAAAAAGTTGATAACTACTGTAAGAGATGAGAAGCTGAAGAGGGAAGGGATGGCTCACAAAGGCCAGAGACCCTCAAAAGCATAGATGGCACATCACATCAAAGGCTCCCCTGCTCAGTTTATTCCACAAAGGCAGCGGCAAAGACAGAGGCTCTAAACCACAGGATACATCATGTGGAGAGCTTTCAAAGACACACAGGCCGTCTAGGGAGGCTCACACTCTAGGTCTGGCCAAGGCTGGCTGGACATGTGACTCTGCAGGGACTCTGGGCACCAACCTCCATTATCTGTACAGGACTGTACAGATGATGCTTCCTACCTGCCCTCACTGTGGGATCCCCCAGGCTAGAGTGGACTGTTATGTTCCCCAGGGGACACAGGATACCTAATTTTTCTCTGGAGCATTCTTTCTCCTTTATGCTTAATACAAATAACAACACAAAAATTTAAATGTAGCTTTCACAGAAGTGTGGCTCTTATCAACAAACTATGTCCTCCAATATGTTAAGAACAAGCAACATTTCGGCTAAATTGTCACCAACACAAACCACTTAACAGAATGGCTACTTTGTAGTAGTATTGCAAAAGAACCACACAGGATCTTACAAATGAGTCATCCAACGAGTTCACCACACAGACAGGGAAACTGAGACTCCAGGAAAGGAAACACTCTGTCCAGTGAAATGGCTGAAGGGGAGAGGGGACCCCAGGACACCGGCCAGCAACATCACTTTTTCTTACCAGTCTCTTTAGCTTTTTGAAAGGACAAAATCAGTTAATGTCTATAGAGCACTGGTGTCTTTGAGGTCCCTTTTCCCTTTAAATAAGAACTTGTCCACTCCACTAGAAGTCCAGCATCATAACCTCATAGAGTACAGTCCAATGGAGCCACAAGACTGCAGAGGCCGCACCAAGTGTCCCCTCTGAGAGACAAAGATTTTTTTTTTGTTTCTATTAAACACAGGGATAACTGTGGATGCTTAAGAGCGTGTGCTGTCCCCTGAGGCCAGTGCTGGAGCAAGCCATTTCCCATAACAGCTGTGCCCTTTCCACGAAGTACGAACATCTTACCAATAAGAAGAGATTCTAAGAGGCCACTCCCAACCCACAGAGGAACAGAGGAAGCGGGGCAGCTTTGCCTGAACAGTGACTTTCATACTCCAGGTTAAACTGCCAAACCTCAGAAACCACAAAGCCCATGGATGGCCTTGTCCTCGTGAGCAGAAGAATGGCCTCCTAAGATGTGGACAGCTGGTCTCCAGGACCTGACAAAATGTTGTAACCATGGTTCTGGGGCTTTGCCGAGGGTTTCAGGCCCGATCAGGAAGAGAAGAGCTGACTAGATTATCTGAGGAGGTCCAGAGTTACAGTAGGAGCCGACACATGAACACAACATCATTTGGAGTTGTGGGAGGCTGGAAAGGCAGAGGCACTCTTCCCAGCACCTCCGGGTGGAAGGCTGCCTCAGTCAGGCTTCTGACCTCCAGCACACTAAGAGAATAACGAAAGTTGTATTAAATGTGTGGTTTGCTAGTGTGGCAAAGGGAACCGACAGGGCTCCATTCCCTCACTATGAGTCTAAGTAGCTCTCTACTGGCACAAACTGGAAGCAGTAATCTGTGCTTCCCACTCCCAGAAAAAGAAACGCCACCAGACTAATCAGCAATGTCACATCAGCGTCCTGACAGACAAGGCTGATATCAAGCCACATAAAATTTAATTATTTACTGTGATCAGCTATTCAAACCCCTTTGTAAGTATGAATTTCCACCTCCAAGCATAGCTTTCACTTTCTCCACTTTCATTTTCTCCAGGGATTGGTTGGTTTTTATAACCAGTCTTCTGGCCTCTTCTCCTATCCCACTCCCACTCTTGATTCCCAAGTTCACCTGGGTCAGCCATGGGCAGGAACC